GGCTCGTGGCTGTGAACGTGGCTGGCAGGACGGCTGTGCGCTCTGGGAGCCTGCTTCGCCTCCTTGGTGTAGGAGGAAGGGGATAGAATTTGGCCCTATTGCTTGTCCAACAAACTTCTGCCCACAGCGAGGCTGCTGGGGACAGCGGACCAATCTGCCCTGTGTCCTGGGCCAACTGGCTCAGCATCCCTCGTCCCACCTGCATCAGGTTTATTAAATCCTCTGTGTGACACCCCACTTCTCCCTCTCTTCCTGTCTGCTCTCTCTCCATTGTCCCAGCTCTCCATACCTTGGCCATCTCTAGCCTTGATGTCCATAATGGCTCTTGTCTGGGCCTCCCTGCGCCTTGCCTCTCCTCTAATCTGCCACTGCAGTCATCATATCTCTTCCTTGAGTGCCTCCATTGGCTCCGTGCCTGCTCCTGCTTCCAGCTGCCTGATGTCCCTGCTGTATTAATTCACATGGACTAAATTGACCCAGTCAAAGGTGCTAACGTGACCCTGAAACTGTCCAGCGTTAAACCGCACTAAACAAGGTCAGGGCTTTGGCATAAAGAGACCTCAGCCTGCTTAGAGCCATGGCAAACACACCATCAGACAGCCTTTCTAGTAAAGAGACAGAAAAGACGGGAAAACGTTCAAGCATTGGAAATGTCAAGTATTAAGTCAGGCTCTCGTTTTAACAACGTCCCTTGTTCCCTTTCCCTTTGGCTGGAGAGAGACTGTCTCCCTTGTTTGGCCGTCTCACTGTCCTCCTTGGGGAAAACAGAACCAGTTTGCTGAGTTGCACTGGTGCTGTAATGGTTAAAGTCTGATCCCGTTTCCGAAAAGGAAAAACAAGACACACACCCAAGAGGGGAGGGAAAAGAGCAGCAAATATAGAAAATGCAGCTTCTGTCTCTGGTGCGAACTCTTCCTTGCAACCTCGCTGCTGGAAAAACTCAGGCCCAGCACCTGGTCTGATCAGCGTTGCGCTGTTTAGGGCATTGCTTTTAGCTGCCTCTTTCTGTTCACGGGCTTGCTGAAGTGTTGCAGAATATGCAGTCTTGGCCAACTAAGCCAGACGCTCCTTAGGCAGAAGGCAAAGGAGAGAGATTGGAAAGAGAAGGAATAAGGTGGGGAAGGAAAAGAACACACGGGGGAGGGAGGGGAGTTGACCGTCTCACATCCCAGGTGGTGTTTGAGATCTAGTCAGAGCCGGTGGAGATGGTGATGTCATCTGGTGCCCTCTCTCTAGCCTGGTCCGATCAGGACATCTCTCAGGATTAGGATGGAGGAGGCACCATGGCGTCCTGCTGGATTCTGGAGTCCCAGGAGACCGGCTGGGATGGCAATCATGATGGTGAAGCTCTCTGGAGCAGCTGCTGGCAGACAGGTGCTGCTTTTTTTCCATCAGCACTTGTTGAGTTTGCTTCGCCTCTGCTAATTTTCACCTGCAAGTATCTTTTCAAGGCCCCCAAAGGGAGTAGCCCTCCCACATCATTTTGTCCACTTATCGGGTCTCACTTCCAACACACCAATTTTGGCTTGTGTCGAGAGACTTCCAACACACCAATCGATTGCTGGTCCCACACTTCTCTTGTTTACCTGGCTTGATCTGAACACAGTCCTTGAATTATATCAGTAGGACTTCGTGTTCTGTCTGTCTCCTTTTGGCACCTTTTCCCATCAATATTGACTGTTATAGGTTATCAGACTCTCTGAATTTTTACTCACTTCAAGTTGAGCTCACAATAGGGTAAATTTGTAGGCCCAATTATCACAGCATCCCTTGCAGAGCTCTCCTGCATGTTTGGGGCTCACCCCGACCAAGGAGGGGTCCTGTCGCCGCCTGCCCTGTGATGGTGGGGGCACCAGGAGCCAGCCCACAAGCACAAAGGTCTCACCTGAGATCCCACCAGCCTCGTTATTCCTGGCAGGGTGTCCCCAACAACCCTTCTGGTCCCGTCTCCCGAAGTCCCTCTCCCCCAAGTTCTTAACTACCAGACACTCGGACTTTCCCCCTCTGGTTTGTCACCCCTGAAGGAGTGAAACCTGCCCCCAGTTATCAGCTCACTTTGGCACACACATTCCATGCTGTTTGCGCACCAGAGACCTGCGTGGGCTAAAAATAAACAAGGTTGATTTAATGGGAAAGCCACTGATTCGAAGGTGAAATAGGGAAAGCAAAAACACGCACGACACACTGAAAATAAACATAAAAAGGCCACTTCAAGTTTCACACTTGTATATTCGCTCAATTCCCTTTTCTAAGAGAAGGCATTTCCTGAACAGTTCCCAGGTGTACCCCCATCATAGAGGGGATCCAGCGTTTCTGGGACAGCACCCCTCCCGGCTGTGAGGTGTATTTGAAATTGTAGTACAGGTGTTGAGCACAGTTTTTATACACTTAAAGACATAGATTCATAACCACCATCTGCCTCCATAGCTCATAATGACCAGCAAGTTATGAACATTACAAGGTTTCAAAAAAGACCTGACTTGCCATATTTTATACACAGTCACGTCGTATACGAACGGTTGCTTCACTTACTCATTCTGGGGGGTTCAGACCTGCTGTTCTCCCCGTGGGGTGTCTGGACCCTGATTGTCACACCTCTGTAAGCACACCCAGCTGTGCTCCATGCTCTTCCCAGGCCCCTCTCCGTTATCGCTGCGGTTTGTGTTGTGGCAGTCCCCAGGGGCCGCAGACAAGGCTCAGGGCCCCAGTGTCCGGGTGTGTCCAGACATGTCACGGGAGGCCAGTTGCTGCTGCAGAGCTCAGACTGGCTCTATGATAAGACCCAACAGATGGATGAAACGGACAAACGGGGATGGCCGAGGGAGTGGTGAAAGGAGCCTTTTTGCTGTAGAGATCCCCCACTGTGGGGCCATTAGCAGATAGATGGTGCCTCCTTTCCCCCCAGGAGCCAGCTAGTGACTCCAGCCAGTGGGGACAGGAGCAGACAAAGCAGGGGCCTCTGGAGGGTCCAGACTAAAGGGCTGAGATTTCTCCATCCTGTGCTGGAGGGCTGGGGCATGGCGTCACACCACACTGCTCCTCCTCCCCGGCCCTCGCCCCCTCCCGTTTCTTTCCGTTTAGCTGATCCCCTGCTAACTAAACACACCAAAAAAAGAGAAAAGAACAAAAAATCATGGTGCTAACGTGCCATCTGCTGCCATCCCATTGGTCTCTTCCCCCCCCCGCCATGTCTGTGTGGTCTATTTACACAATCGTGCCTCATTGTTTTCTTGCACGCCCCTGTCTGTCTCCGTCTCTTGTCTTCTGTCTTAAACTTGGACTGTAAGCGCCTTGGGGCAGGGGCTGTCTCTTTGTCCTGTGTTTGTACAGCACCTAGCGCAGTGTAGCCCTGGTCCATGATGGGCTGCTAGATGCTACCGTAATATACCTAATAAATAACAGTAATGGTGGGTAGCAGTCCCAGGGTGCCGCCTGCATAGCCGCCCTCCTCTCTTTGTGCTTTCTGACTTGCCGCGTGCACCCCAGTGCCTGGAGTAGATGCCCTGTTCCTGTCTGCCAAGCAGCCCCCTGCCCAAACAGCTTTGGGCGTGTTCGGTCCCATCCCAGGAGAGCTGGCAGAGCTCTGGGCTGAGGAGTGTGTGTCTGCAAAGCAGGATCCAGCCATTTTCTGGTGTAATGGTTCTTCTTCGACTGATTGCTCATGTCCATCCAGCTTACGTGTGTGCGCTCGCCACATGCACCAGTGCCGGAAGTTTCTCCCTCAGCAGTATCCTTAGGGGACCGGCTCCGGTGCCCCCTTGAATGGACATGAGCAACACATCTCGAAGAACACCAGTTACGGAAAAGGTAACGCTCTTTTCCTCCCACTCTGGGCTGCTTGCTGGATGGGGGCTCCCCGCTGTGCCAGTTCTCTCTGTGTAGCCTTTCTCGGGTGCCCATGCTCTGCGTGTGTCTTTCCTCCCAGTGTTTGCCAGAGCCCGGGCTGCTGCCCCCTGCATTATCTTCTTTGATGAACTGGATTCCTTGGCACCCAACCGGGGACGGAGCGGAGACTCAGGCGGAGTTATGGACAGGTGAGTGCTTGCTGCACCCTTCTGTTTTGGCAGCTACGCTAGGATTCTGGGTGG